CTGCACCTGTCTCCCTCACCAGGTGTGACAACTGGAAGGCAGAGCCCGTCCTCCCCTCCCTGCAGCCCCATCCCTAGTGCCGAGCAGCCTCTCAGGGAGAGAGCGGTACTCGCTGAGTAAAGGAGCCCAGAGATGGCTGGGGAGTCTCCCAAAAGGCATTGAGAAGAGGGATCACAGGGACGGTCAAAGGTCATTGGTGCCTCGCCTCCACCAATCCTGGCAACAGCCTTTCAGGCAGATACTATTACTAACCCCACTGTACAGACACGGAAGCTGAGATCATGCCTCTACTGAAAGACAGCCCAGGTCTGGATGGAGACAGCCTGGGCTCGGCACCATGCTTCCACTCCCCGCACCCCAGCCTCCACCCAGCTGGCCTCATGCTCAGTGGGAAACACTTTAGGGAAGAGACGGGGAGAGGGGGTGACCTTGAACAAGTTGCTGCCCTCCTCTGAGCCTCCATCTCCTCAGAGCTGGGAGACTCGGTTGAAGCAGGGTGCCTACCTTGGCCCATTGTTCGTTTCAGGGATTAAATGGGATAATGCAAGTAACTCGCCCAGCAAGAAGTCTGGGATTCAGGAACGGGCTTCTGAATTAAAGAATGAGTGAATGAATGAATGAACCTTGTAAATTTAGTCCTCTTCCTTGTTCCGCAATTCTATAATAACGAAAAAAAAAACTAAAAACCTTCTGCAGGGGCTGCTGGTCTGCCCAGATTCCTCCAGGCCACGGATGGCCATGTATTGCCCTCAGGCAGTCCCAAAAACTGTGTACACGGTGGTGACTGCTTGCAGCCTGTCTCCAGGGCAGAGCTCATTGAGCTGCACAAGCTCCGGCCCGTGGCTGCAGTGTAAGGCAAGAGATCCCATCCAAGTCCCTCTGCACAGGGTGTTCTTAAATCAGACAGACCCGGGTCCAAATGCCTATCTGCACCTACCTGCTGTGTGATCTTGGGCAGATGTCTTAACCTCTTTGATGTCTGAATTCTTCATTTGGTAAGAAGACACCTGCCACATAGGGTTGTCTTAAGGTTGTCATCCAAATCCCCTTTTCCTGTGAAGCAGCAAGGGTGGGCAGAGGGGACAAGTGCAGAAGGTGACACGCACACATTCCACACACACATAGCCGTGAGCTTCCTGAGTGAGGCTGAGATTGAGTGGGCCATTACTCTCCTCCTCACGCTCCTTTCTCAGGTGGCCTTTCCTCTCCCAACGTCCAATCCAACAGCAGTTGCTGTCAGTTTCGCCACAAAATATAACCCTGAGCCCACTCTTCTCTCCACCCTCATTGCTCCCTCTACCCACTGTCATCACCCTCCTGGACCACCGAACAGCCTGAAGACTGCTCTCCCCGGCCCGTCCCTCCCACCCAATCCACTCTCCAGACAGCGGCCAGAGGGGTCCACGCAACTCGGGCTCAGACCAGTCCCCAGCTTACACCCTCCAGGGGCTTCTCACTGAACTCAGAGTAAAATGCACGCTGCTGCCACCGCTGCCACCACTGCGCTGGGTACTCCCTTTGTCCTCCAGCTCATCTTCCATCCTTCTCCACCCTGCTTAGTACCCCAGAGGCTGATCCGAGGGGAACACATCAACCTTTGCCCTCTGGCTTCTGGTGGGTTTGGCCAATAGGAGGTGCCAGTGGAGATTATGGGGGATGAGGGGCAGGTATTACTCCCTCAGCTTCCTCCCGGCTTGGCCTGGGCTGGCGGTGGCCGTCTCCCTCTGATGAAAGCTGCAGGTGGTCTCCTCCAGTCACCACTCTTCCTGGGTTCCCCTCCGGCTGCCCCCCGGCCCCATCAGGATGAGGGGTGGCGACAAGGGCCCCACTGCTGCAGTGTTTTGTCACTCCTTCTCAGTCCCCCTCAACCCCACACACCCCTCCAGAAACAGTCCTTCCATTACCCTGTCCTCAGTTCCGCCTGAGTGTGGCATCGTTTCCTGCCTGGACAGTGATGGACACTAAGACCCTCGCGACCCAGCCCCTGCCTGGCGCTCCACCCTCTTCTCTCTTCACTATACTCCGGCCAAACCTGGTCCTTTCTGCCCCTCAACGTACCTAGCTTGTGGCCTTCTCAGTGCCACGGCCCTTGCTGTTCCATCCAGCCTACAGCACTGTTCCAGGTCTTTACACTGCTGGTCCGGGCTCAAACATCACTCTTCAGAGAGGCTTCCCCTCACTACCTGTCACACACGCTCCAAACGGGTTTTCACTCCAAACAGTTTAGACATCAAGATATGTGGGGTTTTTCCCACACCGACAACCCGGTCAACTCTCCAGACACCAACAGCGTGTCCTACCATTCAATTCAATTCCGACACGAACCCCGAGGCTGGCACAGACCCCTCAGGCTAAGGCCCTCATCCCAGGAGACCGCACCCACTTCTGACGCCAGTGGCAAGGCCCAGGCCTCTAGCACTTCTGACAGACTGGCTATAAATCAGGGGCCCCACGACATCTTCCTCAGGTTGCATAATTTGCTAGAATGACACAGAACTCAGGAAAGCACTTTACTAACACTCTGGGTTCATTACAATGGCTACAATGACCCCAATGGAAAAGACGCCTCGGGCGGGTGTGGGGGCACGGAGCTTCCACGCCATCCCAGGCACCCAGATGTGCACGCCAACCTCGAGGCTCTGCAAGCCACAGGGTTCAGGTTTTCTAGAGGCTTCTTTCTACAGGCACAGTTGATCAAATCACTGGCTGTTGGCGATTGCGCTCGATCTGCAGCCGTCTTCCCTCCCTGTAGGTCATGGGGTGGGGCTGAAATTTCCAACCCTCTAATCTTGCCTAGATCTTTCCAGCGACCAGTCCCCATCCTGAAGCCATCTGGGTGCCCCCTCCAGTCGCCCGTTCGCTACAGAATATACTCAACACTCTGGAGATTCCAAGGGTCTTAGAAGCTCCTGCATCAGGAACCAGAGACCAAGACCAAATATTCTAGCAAAAGATGCTCCAATTGACCCCCTCACTTGGAAAATTATGAGGGTTTCAAGAGCTCTGTGCCAGGAACTGGGGACAAAGACCGAATATATCTATTTCTTCTTATATCACAACATTATGCACCCTAATCCACTTCCTTCGCAGGACTTGTACCAGCCCAAGGGTAGGCCCCTCATTTGTTTGTTGGCTTGGGTTTTGCTCTATTTCCACCTATAAAAGTGTCCGTTCCACACGGGCAGCTTTTTGTTCACTGCTGCAGCCCCAGCGCCTCGTGCCACACCTGGAACATTGGAGGGACTCAGCAAATATTTGCGGAATTACTACAGGAGCTGGACATCCACTTAGAGAGATGGAGGACATTCCCCCTGGGCCCTGGGGGGCAGGGGCGCGCTTGGGCATCTTGCACGACAGCATCACGGCTTTGTGGCCTCAAACCTCCACAAATCCGCTCAGGGCCCCAGAACTCTTCAGCTCAGTAACGTTCTCAGATGTGTTTCCCGAGAAGTAGCTGGCTACTGACGAAAGGGCTAACCTCAGGGGTCAGGCCGCTCTGGGCTTAAACCCTGGCTGGGTTGCACCCTGCACTTCTCTGGACCTCAGTGCATCATCCACTGAAAGGAAATGCACCCGGCCGCCCAGCTCACTGCGAGAGAGAATGAGAGCTGCACGCCAGGCGTCCAGCCCCGCCTGCCCCCGCACCACGACGGGAGGACGAAGAATTAAATGGAAGGGAAGCAAAGGGACATGATGCTGATGAGTCTCCAAGAGAGGAGCCTGGGCTGAGCCCAAGGTCGGTGCCTCCACCCCTGGGCAGAGTCTGAGCACAGCGGGCTGGGCATCTAGGCCTTGGCAGCTGAGGAAGGCACAGAGTGGAGCAGCAGGACGAGGCCCAGGCACCCAGGGCAACGTGGGTGTGGCGGAGGGCCTGGGAAGGCCTTAAAGGGGCTCCCTGACTTCCCAGTGGCTTCTCTTTGAACTTGGAATGGGGCGGCCAGCTGACCCCAGCACACTGAGGAGACGGCACCCAGGGGTAGCAAGAAGCACTCCGCAGACTCGGAGGGGAGCGGCGCAGGTGGCCTGACCTTCAAGGCCTTGCGGAGAATCTCAGCGGACAATGAGTTTCCTTCCCCAACCGCCTGACCCCTTACAGAAGCTAAAGGCAGCTCCAAGGAAAAGAAGAAACTCTAAACTGATTGAGACTTTTTTCCACCACCCAAAGGAATGTGGCTCAAATTACAAGTTACGACAAAGTGAAAGAAGAGAGTAGCCTTTCTTGCACACCCATGTCCTGGATTTGGGCTCCTTCCCACCACACGGCACGCTGCCAGAAGCCTCTGTAGGATGTGTGCCTTCCTGGTACCTTGAAAGAGCCCAACTGGAGAAGAGAGGTCCTGGGCCTCTGGAGGGCTGCCCCACATTAGGGACAGCAATTCTGTGGGACTCCGGGTAGGGAAGAGCAGAAATGGCCAGAGGTGGATGCGTCATCTGATTAATCACAAGAAGAAACTCCTTATAGACAGCGTTGCCCAGTGATGGAAGGGACCACTTTGAGGGGAAGTGAGCTTCCTGTCCCCACAGGTATGTAAGGAGATACTATCAGAAGTGTGGAGAGGTAACTCCTACCTGGGGAGTTGGCCTGACTAAAATAACGGAGATATCTTTGAAGCTTTATGGACTATGAGTCTATAGGTAAAGCCCAGACTGACAGCCACAAATCAGAGTCAGGACCTTAGCTGAACGCAGGGGAAGTGAGGAAGAGGCATCGAGGGGCAGAGGAAGGAGGAGAAGAAGAAAATAAGGGCCCAGCTGGGAAGGTGACATGATTCTGGAGGTCCAATATTGACAAAGAGTTATTCAAAGACAGTGTGTCCCCAGTGCGGGCCACGTGTCCGCACAGTCCGAAGGGCCTAAGCTATGCTGCAGTAACAAATGAAGACTGAAATCACAGCGCCTTCACACAACAAGTGTCTTTCCCACTCAGGCGAAATCTGCATGACCTGGTGGCTTCGACCTCCAAGCAGAAGGTGGATGGAGGAAGTACGCCAGCACTTAACTGCCACAGCCCAAAACTGACTGACGACACTACCACTCAGAGGCCATTGGCCACAACTGGTCACATGATCCCAAGCATCTGCACAGACCACTGAGAAATTTCGAGAAGTACACGGATATCGGAGAGCCCTGATCGTCCCTGTCATAGACAGACCCACAAAGGGACACGAGATCATTTTAGATGCTACACAAGGTAATTTTTGGTGCGAATGGACAGAAAATTAAGTAACACTGAATTTCATAATGAAAAAATAGCTCCTTCTTCAACTATCTCAAAAGCCTTGTAATTATGAGAAAGTCTCAGTTTGGTCTTGTGTCTTTAACACCTCTCTGGCCCTGCTAATCCCCTTTCTCAATAAATAAGGGGCTGGCCTCAGATTCAAAGGCTGTAAGAGAAGAAAAGTTATCCTAAGTTTTCAAAGTTACGTTTTTCCCATCGTATTCATTTTCATGACTATCAATGTTATATGGCAAAGGATACCAATTTTCCTTTCAGGACGGCAAAGTAAAGTTTCCTTTTCAATGAGTCTATTTTTTTCAAATTGAAGCTATTTAAAGAAGACTATTAAGATAAAAAGAGGACAGGTGGTACATGAAAATGGCACAAACTGTTGAACATGGAGTGTGAATGATTGAAGTTTGGGAAATTCTGTTCCAGGTCAAACTGTGTGGCACAAATATTAAGATTTCCTTTAGAAGAGGTAATACATACTTCCAAATTCAAAAAGTATTCAATATCTATAGTGAACATTATCCCTCTCAACTCCATTCCCCCGCCACACAGTTCCCCTTTCTGGAGGTAACTAGTGTTAATAATTGTTAGGAATCTTCCCAAAGATATCTGAGGGACACACAAGCAAATACATAGACATATTCCCTACCCCACACCCATGCCCTCTCCACAAGCAGCAACTGTATAAGTCAGGACAGGATACGCCACGCTGCAGAGACAAGAAGATCCCAAACGCTTAACTCATGTATTTGCTCACACAAAGCTTGCTGTGAGTTCAGGGCTCTCTAGGGCGACTGCCCTCCATGCGGTGACCCAGTGATCCAGGCGGGCAGAGGCCCCGCCGTCCTGCAGCCACATCGTCTGCAACACAAGACCCCTCTGGTGGGCATGGCGGGGAAGAGAGCACTGGCAACTCCTGCGCCATCAAGCCAGTGGCTCACAACACACCCACTCCCAGCCCGCTGGCCGCGTGCTCCTGCAACTCTAACTGAGAAAGAGATGCGGAAGCGTAAATCCTCCCAGGTTCCCCAGAAGAAGAGGGGAACCGCATATGGATGCCCACCGGAATCCTGTACCGCAGCAGCACAGAGAGCATTCCCACCGTTCTCTCTTGTCTTTTTCACTTAGACAATAAATATATCTTGGAAATCATGCAGGACCCTTACATTCTTCTTATTGCTGCATATCTCCCACAATTCATTTGGCCACTCCCCTATGGAAGACATTTAGACATTTGTTTGTTCTTACAAACAACACTGCAATGAAAAACGCTGTGTATACTCCATTCGGCACGCACATGGGGACCTAAAGGATAAATCCCTAGAAATGAAAATTCTGGGCAGGGATGTGCATCTCTAATTCTTGTAGCCCAGTTTGGCGCATGGCTGCCATATTAGTGAGACAGGTTTTCAGCAGAACCCCAACTCAGGGCAATTTGGACCATATATAATTTCATTAGTTTACTCAACAAACATTTACAAGCACTTATTCTGGGCCAGGCCTTGTGCTGGGAACTAGACAGAGAAAGATGAAATTGGCTCCATCTCAGCATTAAAGAGTCCACTATCTAGTGGGAGGAGACAGATGCACATGCCAATTGTTCTGGTTTTCTACTGCTGCGTAATATACCACCCCAAAACTTAGAGGTGTGTGACAACCACCATTACGCCTATGGATTCTGTGGGTCAGGCATTTGGAAAAGACGCAGCCAGGATGGATCTTCCCTGCTGCCTGATGTCGAGGCTTCATCTGGGGTGACTCGAACAGCTGGGGACAGAGGATCCACTTCCAAGTTGGCTTCTTCACTCTCAGCTCTGGAGCCTGGGCTGGGACAGGTGAAGGACAGGTCAGCTGAGACCATCAACCAGGGCCCGTACACGTGGGCTCTCCAGCAGTCACAGCTAGTGGGATTTCTTACATGGTGGCTCAGGGCTCCAAGCACAAGGGTTCTAGAGAGCACGGCAGAAGCTGCATGGGTTTGCATGCCTCCACCTAGGAAACAACCCAAATTACCATCAGCTGATGAATGGATAAATAAATTGTGGTACAACCAAATAATGGACTATTACTCAGCAATAAAAAGAAATTAAGTACTGATACATCCTACGATATGGATGAGGCTTGAAAACATTACACTCAGTGAAAGAAGCCAGTCACAAAGGACCATATGTTATATGACCCCATTTATAGGAAACGTCCAGAATGGGCAATTCTATAGAGACAGAAAGTAGATTACTGGTTGCCTACGCCTAGGGGTGGAGGATGGGGGAAGAAGGGGGCATTGGGGAGTGACAGCTAAGGGGGTGCATATCTCCTTAGGGTAATGAAAATGCTTCTTAATTGATAATGGTGATGAATGAACGACTGTGAATATACCAAAAGACACTGAACTGTAAAAAAAAAAAAAAAAGAGAGAGAGAGAGAGGGAGGAAGGAAAAAAGAAAAGAAAAAAGAAAAAATGCCGATGTCTAGGCTCCACTGCAGGAGAGTCTGCTTAATTGTTCAGGAGGGTGGCCTGGGCATCCGGATTGTACAAGGTCCCTGGGTGATGCTGCTGCGCAGCTGGCTGAGAGCCGCTGGCCTAGAGAAATGCAGAGCCGGGAACGGACAGAGATGAAGACGGACTGGTCAGCAGAGCCCAGCTGTGCAGTCATGAAGTTAATGAACATGTGTCAGGAGTCCAAACGGCGGGCAGTATTCTGACGGGATTCCGTGTGAATGCCGAGCAGGGCCTCTGTGCGCAGGCAGGCAGCAGGTTCCCACACAAAGCATCCGCTGGAAGGAGAGCGGCTGAATCTGCCCAGGCTCTGCTCACCAATCCTGGAGCCCAAGGGCTGTTCCTCCCCGGCAGCTCCTCCTTCTGACTCCCGCAGCTCCTGTGGGGGCCGGGGGGGGCTCCTGCAGCTGACTCAGTCCTGCCCCGACAGAGCTATGGAACACCAACCCTCCCACCTCTCGGTCCATGAGATTCTGGGGGGCTGACCTCCCTGGTGCAGGGGTAAACACATGACCCAAGCCTGGCCAATCAGAGTTCTCCACCCCCTTGGACTCAGTGATTGGCTCAAGGATAAGCATGGGACCTAAAATGATGCAAGAAGAATCTCTCCCCAAAGAACTTGAATCTTGAAAAAAGTGACTCAAGGATGGAAGGTGGTTCCAGCGAATTCATCTTCACAGTGCAGCTGAGAGGAGGGTGCTGCCAGGCCCTGCCGCCCTGGAGCCCAGGCCATCCATGGTCATGGCTGTTCAGCAGTCCCTCCGACACTCTGAGCCAGCCCACAGCCTTCCCAGAAAGCCTGTGCTTTCTGCATATGTTGCGTCTCCTGCTTGCACGCGCACACCGGCTGCTCTGTCAGATGTGGTGTGTGTGCTCTCCAGCCAAGCAGCCCCAGGCCCAGCCAACTGAAGCTTCCTCCCCACGGCTTGGGAGGTGTTTGTCTCGATGTGCTTCTTGGTAGAGGGTCAACAGCAGCTTTTCAGCCATAACTCCACCAACTGGCCTTCCTCCCCAGAGTCCTGAGGTTGACCTGATCCCCACTGGGTGCGAGGGAAGAGACCCCACCGGGTGCCAGGACACTGGAGGACTGTGTGATTTGGGGCAAGTCGTCACCCCTGTTGGGCCCTCCATTTCCAAATCAGAAAAATGAGAGGCTTGGACTGGACCTGACAGCTCCCATTACAGAGGCAGAGAAGGGCGGGACGGCAGAGCGGTCAGGAGCTGCAGACTGCCTGCTTAGACTCCCAGCTCTGCCCTCCCTCGCTGTGTGGCCTTGGGCCAGTAACTTCCCCTCTCTCTGCTTCAGCTCCTCGTCTGTAAATCAGCAATACATGGAAATAGGAACCACCTCATCAGATTGTTCTGAGGATCAAATGATTGAATATTCGTGAAGTCCTTAAAACTGTAACTGGCATGTAGATGCCTCCACAGATCGGAGGCATTACCAGCATTACCAGGCACCTTACCTTCTATTAAGGTGCGTGTACGTTCTCTCTCTTAACATCACAAAAGCCTGGGGGGGGGGGGTTCTGTTATTACTATTTAAAGAGGAGGAAACAGCTCGGAAATGCTAAATGACTTACCCAAGGTCACACAAGCAAGAAGGGGAGAAACTGCATGCTTAGAGGGGCTATTTGACCCCAGAGCCTGTGACTTTAACCATCATGCCCTTCGAACGCTGACGTTCTCGACCCGTTTCCCAATGTGTCACCCCTGACAGAACGTGTGATGATTTTAAGTCATATGTGAACAGTCTGGCTAAATAATATTATGCATTATTTTTGTGGTCACCTTCTGTTCGTGGCAAGGGAATATAGGCTTTCCATTCACTCAAATTTATTTAAGTAAAAAATTAAGTCCATTTTTTTAAAAAGTAGTGTGACGAGGGCTGGCCCCGTGGCCGAGTGGTTAAGTTCGCGTGCTCCGCTGCAGGAGGCCCAGTGTTTCGTTGGTTCGAATCCTGGGTGCGGACATGGTACTGCTCATCAAACCACGCTGAGGCAGCGTCCCACATGCCACAACTAGAAGGACCCACAACGAAGAATATACAACTATGTACCGGGGGGCTTTGGGGAGAAAAAGGAAAAAAATAAAATCTTTAAAAAAAAAAAAGTAGTGTGACAGACATTATTATTGCTGAAAACATTTGCTTCTCTTCCCTGGCGAGGAGAGTACATTTCTGCCCGTTGACGTCAAGCTTGGCCCCCTGACTTGCAGCAGCCAATCTAGCCAGTGAAGTGTGAGCAGAAGTTGTAGGACCAGGCACAAAGTTTACCATATTCTGTCTTCCTCTTCCAGCAGTGTTCCCAATAGAGGCTGCTCCTTCCGCCTGGGTCCTGGAGTGAAGAGGACCTGAGGCAGGGCCACAGGCAGCCCACACTGCCCACACGGCAGAGGGAAGAAACGTAGCCTTTTTCTTGTGAGGCACCGCGATCTGGGGATCATTTGTTACTACGGCATAACTCGGCCTATCCTGGCTGATACAGATGGTAAAGAAATCAAAGTGCAGGTGGCGCCAAGAAATGGTGAGACTCATGAAGGTGAAACTTGAATGCATGATGGGAGTTTGGGACTCAATCTACAAAGTAAGGAGAGCGGAGAGCTGCGAGTATCCTGCCCTCACCGCAGCCACTCTGCAACTCTCACGGCCCCCACCAGCTCTGGGCTCCCCTGGCCCAGCTTGGGACAGAGAGGAGCAAGGTGTCCCAGGGCACTCACCCAGGCGCCTCTCTGTGCTCAGCTGGCTCACTTGTCCTCTGTCCTCTGTCCTCAGGTGTCTTTGATGGGGATGGGAAAGGTGGTTCTGGGTCTTTGAGCTGCCAAGGCAGCAGCCGTCTTGGGCCTTGCAGACTTTGCCTCTTCCTTCCTCTACACCCATCTTCACGGGCTGCCGGATGGCGGAGTGGGAGTCCTGGGATCTCCCCATCAGCTTTTCTGGAATGGTGAGGGAGACCCCTGGAAAAGGGAAGAAGGCTCCAGTAGGCAATTAAGTGATACCATGGGAAGAGGAGGGGTTTTGGGAGCAGACAGACCTGAAAATTCTGGCTCTGCCACTTTGCAGCTGTGTGACCTCGGGCAGTCTCAGTTCTCTCATCTGTAATCCTGGGAGACTAACGCCCTCCTGACAAGGGCAGTTGGTGTCTTCCCTCCTTTCAACTTCATGCAGTGGGAGGCGTGTGCCCCTCCCCCAGGTCCCAAGGCTCTTCTGCACAGGACTGTCCCTCCCCAAGGCGCCAAGACTAACATGGTGGCCCCACGAGACCGGGCACATGAGTCCTGGTCGCTGCTGTAACCCAGCACCTAAATATTTGTTGAAAGAATAAAATGGAGTCTCACATCAATAAACAGAATGTCCAGACCCAGACCAAAGTATTCATCAGACTGCGAACTTGATTTTCCATCAAATCTTGAGGCTCTCCCAGGCCAGGCCTCTGTCTGACAGGAGGTTAGCCCTGGGATGGGACAACGACTGGCTTCTCCTGCCTCCACTCTGCCTGCCCCTCCTGGAGCACGGAGACTTCCCCCTTCTGGGGCCGGTGCACGGAGAGGGAGGGGGCAAGGCGGGAGGAAAGGTATTTCCTTGAACTCCTTGAACTGGAATTCCTGCTGTGCCAGCTGGCCTTGCTCGCTCCACACCCAGCAGATGTTCAGTACTGTTGCTTCCTCAGGGGACTTGCCAGGGCTCTGCAGTTCCCTGCTGGGGCCTCTCCAGCTGACATCTCCCTGCACCTGCGTGGATGCATCTCTCCCATGAGAGCTCTTCCTCAGCCCTGTGCATTCACCTCCCTATTCCAGGAGGCCCTGTCGGATGGGACCCATGATGATCCTGTGTCAGGTCTCTCTCCCGTGGCTAGTCCACAGGAAATAGCCACACACCTCTTGTCCTGACAAACTCTGGGAGTGCAGGCTGAACCCAATGGGGCTTTCCTAGTCCCAATGGCTGCTTTAGCTTTCTTGGGGGTAAACTGAGTCAGGCACTGGTGTTCCATGTCTCCCAACTGCATGCAGTAAACACATTTCAAGCTCTCCAGGAGCGAGCAGTGCTCACCAAATATCCGTGTGCTCCCGTGTTGCCCAGACTCCCTTGCAGTTGGATTGAAGCCGTGTGATGAGTTCTGGCCAATGAAGTGAACAGAACTTCCATGTGTCCCTTCTGGACTGAGGCATTTAAGAGCCAGATGCTTCCACCATCTCTCTTTCCTGCCTCGAAGGCCATGTGTTCCAGACAGCACCACTGTAAGACAGAAGAGGATAGCCTGAACGGCGCCAGTCTTCGACCTGAGCAGGAAATAGAGCTTTGTGGGGTTAAGCCACCGAGATTTCTGGGCCTATTTGTTACTGCAGCAAAGCCTGTCCCATCCTGCCTAATAGGCCACACGTGCTAGTCTTACATCTGTTCTCTGCACACCCATCTCACATTTAAGATGAAGAGGGCAGGCATCCTTGACTCCCTAAGATAGGGAGAGGATAAGGCTCTCAGGACAGCTTCCTCACAAATCCTGTGCCATCCTCTTCATTCTCAATTCTTTTCTAATTCTGAAGTTGGTAAAAGAGGATTGAGAGCTGTGGTATGTTTCTAACTATTTCACCTGAAAGTCTGCACACAGTGAATTGGCACCTCTCTTTGAAACTGCACATCTGTCTTATCTTAGTGCCTAATGGAAACATCAACTGTAACATCCTGTTACACGAGACTGTTGTGCAGATAACAAGATTGAATCAGATTCATTTCCATTCCATGAGGGAAGTTACCCTAAGCCAGGAACACCCATGACCACATGTAATCCTTCCCACAGCTCTCAGAGACAAGCCACTACTCTTATGATCCCCATTTTACAGACGAGGAAACTGAGGCCCGGCGAGGTAAGTGGCTCGCCGAAAGGCACATACTAGAAAGCAGCAGAACAGAGATTTGAGCCCAACTCAGACTGAGGCCAAAGCCCTCCCTGGCCTGAAGTTCTCCAGTAACCAAATCAGGAGGTCAGTCCCCTGACAGCGAGCGTCTGATGGCTGATGGTCAACCATAGTGATGCAAGACCAACATCTGTACCCAGGTCCCTGTCACCAAAGCTGGTGACCACACTGACTCCATGTTTGTTAGGCACCTATACCTAGTAGGGACATGATAATGTCAGCATGCTCTTGCATCCACAGGAAAACTAACCGAGTTAATTAGCCTAAAAAACAGCCTAGTTAATTTCCTCCCGAGGAGACCCCTTCTCCCCGGCAGGTCTGGCAGGCAGGGCCAAGCTTTCTCAGGATTTGCACGCACGCACACCCACGTCCACGGCTGTCCCTCCAGAAGCCGCATCTGCTTTACACCTCAGTGTCCTCGGGAAGACCTGATCTTGCCTCCCCCCGCCAGTGCCCAGCAGCGCCATCCTCCCTCGGCGCTCGCTCCAGACGTGTTATTCACGCTGAACTCATCTGTCCTGAACGCAGATGTAAGATGTGATTCCCCAAGAATTCAAATGTAATTTAAAGTTGTTTTCCAATATCTAATTTGCCTTTTATTTATCTAGGGCAATATTTCAGTGGGAGCCTCCCAGCCAAAGTGCCGGCATTTGTTTACCGTGCCAGGCCCAGCCACGGTGGAAAGCCACACGCCCAGACACAGACATTACCGATTAAAAAAGTAATTACAACACTGAACAAGGCCTTAAATAAAAGTGAAAATGCAGGAGACAGGAGGGGAAGCAAAAACATAAATTGGGAACAATGCCATTTTCCCCAGACATTTTGTGATATTTGCAGCCTGCCTGGCACTGGCGCCCTGCCCTGGCTGCTTCGGATGTGAGCAAAGCAACCGGCAGGGAGGGATGAGACAGCTCTGCCCTGCAAAGAGCTGGAAAGGAGTTCCTAATGGTCAGAGATCACCTGTCTGCCTGTTCACCTGTCCACCTTTAAGTTTAATGTCTTTCTCTAGTGAGAACCCTCTCAAACTGGTTTTCAGGGAAGGAATTAGCATACTATATTATGATGGGCGGTCAAAATCCAACCCAATTCAAACTGACTTAAAGAGAAAACAGGTATGTTCTGGCTCATGAAAGACCATCAGCAGTGTTAGCTTCAGGCACAGTTGGATCTAGGTGCTCAAAATCTTCAAGAATTTCTCTGTCTGTATCTCCTGCCTCTGCTGTCTGCAGAGTTGGCTTCATTCTCAGGTTTTCTCCACCTGGTAGTTTAAGATAGACTCCCGGAAGCTTTGAGCTTACATCTTACCAGCTCAGCACTCCCAACAGAAAGAGAGTACTTCTTTTCCCATAGTTCTACAAAAATCTCAGGTCGGGCTGTCATTGGCCCTACCTGGGTCACGTGCTGATCCTGGAACCAATCACTGTAGCCAGGGAGTTTCAGTCCTCTGACTGGCCAGGCCTGAGTCAGAGTCCCACCCTTGAGAACAGAGGTAAGACCAGTCTTGCCCAAATCACATGGACTGAGAGTAGGGGAGGGGTGGTTCCCCAAAAGAAAACTGAGGTTCTGTGAGAGCTAAGGAGCAATGGGCAGGCAAACACAACTGATGTCCACCACAGAAACGAACAATTTCTGTCTGTTTCTGATAGCTAACTCTTACATGATCTCTAGACCAACTTTTCCGACTTGGGAGCATGGCGCGGCAGTCAGTGCTCCACTGTCGGGGGTGCAGTAGGACTGTCGTGTAAAACGTCAAACCGGTGGATTCCTCCCTCAACTCTGCCTGAAGAAACTGTCCATCACAGCATAGCATGACCAGGAAGAGAGGACCGTGCGTAATCACCGAGAGTAGCCGGCAGTGTCAGGACAGGCAAAAGCAAGTGGCCCTTCAAGTGGATTTCCTTCAAGATGGATGTAACACGAGCATCAAGGTTGGAATGAGTTGGAGAATTGCTAACTGCCCAATAATCAGGTCCTGGGGAGGCAGGAGGTAATAGTGATATTTAAAGTGCTCCTGGGTCCCGCTTATACCCGAGGAGTGACTGTGACTGTGAACTGACAGAGTTGGCCATAGAGACTTAACCTTGGGGCCAAATATGTGGAACTCTTACACCTCTGAAGGAGTCAGATCATCCTCTCTCCAAAGACATGCAGAATCTGGCCCCAGCACAGCCACGGAGCAGCACCCACGAGGCTGTGCAGGGCCTGGCTTCCACGGAAGCCACTTTGGCAACAAGAAGCAGCTGCGGCAGCACCAGCCAGACTCCGGTTCTTGCCATGTCTGCATTGGAGGTGGACAGATTCCCTTTGAAACTAAGAAATCGTTTGGGGTTCAGAGATCATTCAAGGGATGGGGGGCAGGAAAGCACCATAGGAGAAAGGTGATGAATCTCCTACTAGCAAGGCAGGTGAGAGGTGAGTGCTGAGGCTGTTGGGTGGAAAATGGAAGCTCTCTGCCTCACTCACGCCCAAGGTGGTGGAGGGCTCTTGCTGATTCATGAGGAGTAAACAAGGGACGAGAGCAAGTTCCCTTCCTGGCACAGTGTAAATGCTACCATTGTCGTTGCTCGCCCAGTACCACGATCATCTTTACCACGTGCTGCCTCCTTTCACTCCATCCTTTCGGAAATTCCGTGAGGTTGATGCTCTCATTATTATTCATCCTCACAGGACAGATGAGAAGATGGAGGTTCAGAGAAATGAGGTGATCTGCCCAAAGTCATCCCATGCTGGAGCAAGGACTAGAACCCAGATTTCTTGCTTTCTCCTCTAGCATTTTCACTAACAAAAGGCTTTTCATTTGCGAAGGCAGTGGGCAGACGGACATAAGAACCTCCCGTTTATCAGGCATCCATCATGGGCTGGCGCCGTCCTCAGCACCTTCACAGTGTCAGCCCTTTCATCTTTCCCCACAGGCCTATGAGGTCGCTGTGTTATTATTAACCCATTTTATTACGGAAAATGGAGGCTCAAAGAGGCGAGGTGCCATTCCCTGCGTTACGTTACCAGTTTGAGCCTCTGCAGGGATTCAGCATGAGAAGAAACCAGAAGTTCTCCAGGAAGAGAGCTCCCTGCTCCACAAGGCTGGCAGAGTCTCACCCCGCCCCCTCCCCGAGACTGCACTGGGCTGCCCTTCGCTTCCCAGAAATCTCATCTACGCACACTCCAGGGCCCTCTGCCACCTGGGTCCATCCAAGAGGAGAGATGTCGGGGATAAAATTGTGATTCGGGGGATTCCGAGGTAAAGAGAGAGACAGACAGAGACTGAGAGAACTGACAGTGAGTGGGGAAGGAAGGAGGACATGCAGGCAGAGGAGAGAAGACAGAGACTATGGACAAGGAGGAATGGAGAGGAAGCCAACGGGAGAAACAGGGAGTGGGACAGGAGGTGGCAGGGGAGGAGCGGAAAGCGGAGCTGGGTGTAAACATACATAACTTTTGTAATAAAGGAGAAACTGCAGTCCTTTGTTAAATATAGTCAGTCCCTACTCTGTACCCGTCTCTGTACTAAGCATTGCAAAAATAAGGCCCTTACTCTCAAGCGTGTGTGTGAACAATTGTAAATGGATCGATGCGCGATCAATGCTCTGATGAGGAGGAACCAGATTCCACCCAAGACGCCAGGTAAGCCTTCACTCAGCTGCAGGTGGGGTGTCAAGAGGGTGGGACAATTTTCCATGCGGACAAGGGGAGGAAAGGCATTCCAGACAAAGGGAACAGCATACGCAAAGACCCAGGAATATGAGAGAGTGCATGGAGTCTGGGAACGGCGAGGAGCTGTGAAGGCTGCACGGAAGAACGGGACGGGGCCGGGAACAAGGCAGGGTTAGATCACGCTACAAATGAGATTTGATCTTAAAGACCAGAGTCTAGAACTGTCATTAAAGGACCCCTGAGAGTTTGCTGATTTACACCTAGGGATTTATGAGTGCTCAGTAAGAACTTGTAAAATTTTGGTGTATTCCCCAAATACTAGCACATGTGGGATCATCTCCCTGACAACCAGCACGAGTGTCAGTGGCCCTGTGATGGTTTTGTCTGTGATCACTTTGGGGTCTAGTAATAAGGTGTTAACTGTCCCAGAACAAGGGGCAAAGAAAAGGGGTGCACTAGACACGTAAATGATGTGTTCGCGCCAGATAGAGGCCAGTTGATGGCTTGCTATGACCAATAAAGAGAAGAAAGGGTGGGAAAGTCCAGTCTCCACACCGTCCGTAATGAAGGCAGTTGACCTCAGAAGAAGCTGTGCCAGACAGCAGCCTATTTTTACTAAGTGGCAGTTTAGTTTCAACAAAATAACATCATCAATCAGATTAAGTAAATAACATAATTTGAATTTTATCACTTTTACTCATACTTAGTTTCTAATTTGCTTTAGTCTTATAGTTGTTTATGAACTTCTTTCGACATTGATTCTAAAACATAATTTTGTCATATTTTGACTCAAGTTGGGATGCATCTTAAAATCTATAGCCTTGTACAATTAAAATTGACAGCACTTTTTCCCTCTTACTGCTGTACAAAATAATAATGCACCTTACAACGGATGGCACTTTAGATTCAGTGAAACATAGGATATGCAGAATGCGTTGATACTAGTTTTGTTTGTAAATAACTAAAAAACATTAAAACAAAAAATGTGTAAGTCAATATGGGGTCCATCGAATGTTTTCCATAGAAACAGTTTATGCAGTACTCAGGTTGGAGTATTACTGATGACGGTGAGGCAGTGAGAAAAGTTTTAATCACAGAAGTCAGATTTCAGTATTAGAAAGATACTCCAGCACTACACTAGATAGAAATAGAGAGGCCAGTCTGCAGCAGATCAACTGAGAAATTATGAGGACCTAAAGAGAGGAGCTTTAGATAAGGGAAGATGAGGACATAGCTTGAAGAGCTATGCGGGAGGTAGAACCAATAGGATTCAGTGATTAATTAGATGGGTAAGGGCGAGGATGTGTGGAGAAGGAAAGACGGAAAGGGAAGACCCAAGGATGATGCTGGGTTTCTGGATGGGAGGGAGTAACATCCCCGAGGTACAGAAAGGTAATGAAGGTTGAGATGGTCTAGTTGTGGCAGCAATGATGGTGATAGTGATAATGGTATTGAAGGCTGCGGGATGATGGGGGTAGTGGTGGTGGTGGTGATAATGGTGATGGTGGAAATGATAATGACAGAAGTGGCGGTGATAAAACTGGCTAAAGTAGTAATAATGGTAGTGATAATGGTGATGGTGATGATGGCGGTGGTGGTGGTAGTGACAGAGGTGACAAAAGTGGGGATGACAGAGGTGGTGGGGGCAGTGGCGATGGTGTAACGGTGGTGGTGATGGTGGTGATGATAGACATGATGGAAGTGGTGATGAGGGAGGTGGTGGCGGTGATAATAGTGATGATGGAGGTGATGGAAGTGGAGTGGTGGAGGTAATGTTGGCAGTGGTGGAGGTGTGATGGTGATAAAACTGGTTTAAGTAGTGATAATGGTAATGGTGATAGTGATGGTGATGTTGGTAGTGATGATGATGATTAATGTAGTAGAATTATAATCATGTTATCACCAGGAGGCCGAGAAGTCAAAGTGGCCACACTGGGGATTGGCCTCTTCAGCTGCCCCATCTTGACACCAGGCACCTTCTGGGGAAGACCCTGCCTTCTGCAGCCCTCATCCGTGAAATGAAAATCATACCTCTCTCCTCCTATCATGACAGTAGAAATCACTCGCACTCTCTAATCACTCAATGGGGACTAAATTATAAGTGAACCCTAGAACCACCGGATTCCCCCCACAGCAGGGAATATCTATTATTTACCCATAAAAATATTTCAAGGGTTATTAGCATGTAAACTGTGATTAATTAAATTCACAAAAAATGTTTCCAATGCATGCAAATGAAGTGGTTCCTGCTGGGTGAGGTGTCACTCTCTCGGCAGCTGCTGGAGGAGACAACTGGGGACCAGTTACTCAACTCATCTCCTAGTCCAGCAACTTCAGAAGAAATAAAACTACAGGGTCCATCTCAAACGTGGTTCAGCCTGAGCTCTTCTAGACTCATCCTTCTAGGGCAGGTCTACACAATTAGGCTAAGTTTGGATACTACTTTCCCTATGTGGGAATTTATTCACACCCGTGATCCCTGAAGAGGCCTGAAGGTCATGGAGCTTGAAAGAACCAGAAGGGCGAAAATCAACTCTCTGACCACTAAGTCCAGGAGAAGGCCAAGAGAGCTCAAAGTTACATTGACTCCTTTCCAGGGCTTTCTGTATGCAACCCTGAATTCTTATAAGGTTTTCATGAGGCAACAAGACCTTGGATTGCACACTCAAAGGCCCTGGGCCCAGAACCAGTGGCCAGAAGAAAGGGGCAAAGGAAGATGGGGGGCCAGACTGAGTTGCATATAGCGACCTCCAGGATTCAAAGGGTTGCCCATCGTCTCTGTCTTTTGAGCCTCCAGAGATCCACCTGGCTGCTGTGTAGGCATTTGCTGCCACAATGGGCCCACCAAGGTTTCGATTATCCGAGAACGTGTCCGGGCGCCCAGTGCCCACCCTGCTGCAGACACTCCTCAGCCAGGGCCGCTCTCCTTGTTGTTTCTCCCGAGCCCAGCAGTGCCCACCTCTGCACAAACACTCGCCCCCATCGGGTTGTCTGGAGAAAGAAAGGACTGTGTGTGCCTAGATGGAAGTCTCAGCGGGATCAGTGCCTCAGACACATGCTCTCTCCTACTGGGACCCACCATATCCAGATGCAGCTAACACTTACCCACAGCAGGCCACACACTCAGTTGTGCATTTTTACCTACAGTCCTGTAGGTCATGACATTACTCAGATTTTCCAGATGAGGAAATGGGGTCAGCCACGCCTTGAGGACACCCACTCTACCAGATGCGTTGGACAAGAAACGCAAACTCCCCAACACAGGCCACAATGCCCCACCCTGCGGCCAGCTGCCAACATAACAAGACGAGGCCGACAGCTTCTCTCTCCCGCAGAGTACTTCCTTAATGATTGGGGGTGGCCTTGGCCCAGTGTCCTGAAACCTGACTGCTCATCCTCTGCGCCGTTTCTCCCAGAGGCCCATGAGACTGTTAGGAGTGGGGCGGCCTGGAAGTTCTCAGATGCAGCTCCTTGAAGAAGGGGAGAGGGCCTTTCTGAAAGAATGAAGCCTTGGGTGGGATTAGGAGGGGGAGAGGGAAAGACTGATGCCCAAAGTCAAGACAATGGACTCAGGGAGAGCAGGCCTGGCCCAAAAGGGGTCACAGACAGACACATAACTGTCCTTAAGCCCTGGGACCTCAAGCAACCCCAACTCAGCACCCTCCCCAGCAGGCCTGAAGAGCAGTGCACCCGGATACCGGGCCCCTCCAGACACCAAGGAACCCACCAGGGATGGCGTCCAGGCAGCTGCAGGTCTGTGAGGGGGAGTTTTGACAAGTGAGGGTTTCAGGGGCCCGAGAATAACCACAGAGAGGCCTAATAGTTAACAGAATTGGAAGAAACAAGACAGAACCCCAGCAGGAAAACTTTCAAATCTGCTCTGTGTGGAGAGCACTCCCTGATGCTCTCTCCATGCAGGAGGGTCAACAATCCTCGACTGTCATCGTCAGGTGCCTTTCGTCCTGGTGTGTAACCAAGCTCTTGGAAAGACTCCCCCTCTGCTATTTCCCCACATTGTCCCTGCCCATAGGACCCTGCCCCGTTACCTCACAAATAACTTCTGGGTAACCTGGGGTCTTCACAAACTCAAGGCTGACATTGCACTTGACTGGGCTGGTGTCATGGATGACGGTGGTGGTTCCAAAACCCGGTGGGTCATCCAAGCCACCTGGGGATAATTTTTTCCTGTTATTAACAAGAAAGGTATATGTCAGAGAGATAAATGGTCATAAACTGAAGCAGTCAGAGGGCATAGAGTCAAAAGGTAATTTTCCCACCTAACCCAGTCACCCTCTCCCCATTTTCAATCCCCACAGGCGACACTGTAACAATGTTGGGGTATCCCTTCTGGAGAGAGTCATGTATAAACAAGCAGACATGAGGCTACCTCCTGACTTCTCCCCACTTCAAGTGGAGACGCATCATAAAGACTTTCACCATCTTGCTTTTTTCACTTAATAATTCATTGGAGAATATGCCATAACAATATGTGTACATCTGTCTCATAATTTTAAACAGCTATGGACAATCATAATTTATTTAATGGGTCCCCTTCTGATGGCCTTTAATAAGCTATTCAATGTGTCCATTTAATCCTCACAACCACCTCATGAGACACATGGGTTATGCCTATTGAACAATTCAATGCAATTCAAAGGCCACGTCTGAATAGGAGTCCTGTGATGTTGTGATTTGCAAGAAATAGACCTTTGGTCTTCATCCTCTTGATAAGGTTGCTAAAGGTGTCTTGATGTGCGTAACAAACCCCTTTCGACCACACCTGAGTTTACCTTGATGAGGCGACTTTTGGAAAGCCCTTAGGTGGCCTAAGGATGAGGGCCGGTTGCCAAGGAACCAATCACGTGACTAGAGGGTTGGAACTGTCAGTATCAGCCCCAACCTCCTGAGAGGGGAGGGACTGGAGGTCGAATCAGTCACCAATGGCCAATGAGTGGATCAATCATGCCCATGTAATGAAGCCTCCATCAAAACTCCAAAGGACCGGGTTCAGAGAGCTTCCAGGTTGGTGCTTCTCTTCCATCTGGCTGGGCCTGAGTTAGATCCTTTTATGACAAACCAACAATCTAGTCAGTAAATGAGAACTAGTTTCTCTAAGTTCTGTGAGCCACTCTAGCAAATTAGTGGAACCCAAGGAGGGCGTGGTGGGAACCCCTCACTTACAGCCAGTGGATCAAAAGCACAGGTGACAACCTGGACTTGCTGTTGGTGTCAGAAGTAGGGGCAGTCTTGTGGGGCTGAGCCCTCAACCTGTGGAATCTGATGCTGTCTCTGGGTACACCATCAGAACTGAGTTGAGTTGCAGGACACCCAGCTGAAGTCGCAGAACTGCTTCATGTGGGAGAAAGAACCCACACGTTGGAATTGGTGTCAGAATTATAAATCCTTATCCTAGCCACACCGTAGAATTCCCCAGGAGCCAGACTGCCCCTCAGGGGTTCTGGTCCTGGTACCTAACTCTCCCTGCTCCCCGCTCTGGCCTCAGCTGCTGGAGTCTGAAAGGGCTGGCCGGGCTTTGTGGTGATCAGTCAATCCGTTTTTATTTTGTATTAAAGTTGCTGTTACTGCCCGCTGCCACTGTCTCCAGGCTATTTCTCGGGACATAAACCTTTATGGCTCTCCTCTGCCACTGTTTCTCAGGGTGGCATTTGACTCCACCCAGGAGACCTGGAGATGTAGCAGCCTCAGTGGCAGCGACCATAACCGAGCAGTTAACCCTATAGGACGCCTGGCAGGCTGCCCTTCCCAGCTGGGTCTGGCGGCCTTTGGTCCAGTCCCCTCAGTGAGGATTTGGAGCTGGGTACAAACGCAGAAAAGCACACCATGAGGGGTAGAGAGGATGGAGACAGATACGGAGAGAGGCAGGGATGAGAGCTGTGCCCTCATCCCGCACTGTACAAAGACGACCGGCATGAATTGGCTCAAGAGCATTTTCAATCAGATAAATAAATAAATCATTTATGAAGACACTGCTATCAATGAAAAGAGTTGCTATTGTTGAATACCTACTGGATGCCAAAGGTAACAATAGAGATTGTAAACTTTACCCCAAACCCTGGCTCCAGGAGACAGGTTTGAGAGCCTTGCCTCCCGCCTCCTTGCCGGTTGACCTCACAGTAAAGCTCTTTCTTTTCTCAAAAGCCGGTCCACAGAATTGGCTTCTATGTGCATCGGGTAGCGAGCCTGTGCTCAGTAACAACCTCATCTCTGGTTCCCTTGGAAACCCTACAAGGAGTCATTATTGTGAAGAAACTACAGCCCAGGAATCAAGTGCCCTTGCCCCAGTTTATCAGTCAGGTATAGGTAATAAACAATCCCAAAATCTGTGGTAATAACCAATCCCAAATATCTCAGTGGTGGAAAACAACAGGAGCGGAAGTTCAGCTCTCGCTCAAACTCCGTGTCCACGGAGGGCTGGCAGTGACTCTGGCGTGTGTCACCTTCTTTCATGGACACTCTGCTCCGTCATAAAGATAGGCCATAAAGGATGAAGGACCTACTCCCCAATGACGTGCAGGTAAATGTTTAATAACGGTTCCCTGGGGGAAAATGTATGTGTATATAGACATATAGACAGAGAGAGAGAGATAAAGATACTTGTATTTACTATAAATTTTGCTGATATAAAGGATGTGTAGTGTAGAGTTTATATATAATAATAAAATGTCTAGTACTCTTTACAGGAAGTTCCATACAGCCAAATGATCCTCACAGGATGCTTTCGCTGACTTTTACTGAACTCTTACATTTGTAGCCCCCTATAGTTACAATGCAACTATGACTTGACAATTTATGTTGCTATTTATAATAGCAGCTACCAATAGGACACTTTTTAGTTTAATCTGCCTTTTCTCCACCACATTCTCAAGTCTAGACAATCAACGAAACAATGAACAAAGCCCTGATTTGTAGTGTTTGTCAATTTCTGTGGTATAAATATTTCCGCTGTGGCCGATTTCAACCTAATGAAGGTCACCGAATGTGGAGCTGGAGACGTGTGGCACCATTACCTAGCATTCCCGCCATACAGGTACAAGAGACACAAATGAGCTCAAGAACTCAGGTGATGGTGAAATGTAGTAAAACCATTAGGAAGTGATGAGTGTGGGGTATTTATTACCTTTGTTTTTAATAAAATGTACTTAAGTATAAGTTTACATAATTTAATTTTTAATGATGACTGTGTTTAATAACTGGCTCACAACATTCTGAGCATTTAATAATCGGCTCCCGGGGGCGGATAGAACCCAGCTCCAGCACCGCAGCCGCTCCGCAGCTGCCAGGAGGGCTGCCCTCAGCTGTCATCCTTCTCCAGGAATTGCTCTCAGCTGAAGAGCTCCTTCTCGCCCAAGACCGCATCCCCTTCCCGGGGTAACTCACATCCAGTGAGCAGTTGACAGGGGGGTGTAAAAGCTCAGACCACTGCCCCAACTTGTGACATCTCTGAAGAACCACCCAGCTGCAGAGCTCTCTGTGTAGCCCAACTTCTCCGTCTGCTCAATCCTCCTTCCTTCCCTTCCCCCAGGAGGGCAGCTCCTAGAGCACCCAGGAAGCTCCACGCAGGTTTATTTCCATCTCAGAGGCCGCTTCCCAGGAAGCCCAGCCTTCGCTCTGGGGTCCAGGTTGACGGGGCAGCACCACCTGGAACATTTGTTGGCCATGATGGCAGAAGGAAAGAGGTCTCTGAAGGGTCTCACTTCTGCTCACAATCCATTGGTCGGAGCGAGTCACATGATCCTACCCACCATCCTACTTAGTTCCCCTAAATTGGGAGATCCAGAACATGCAGCAAACAGCCCTGGTGATTACCAACCATACAGCTGTGGGCTGGAACTCCAGGTCTCTGACCACAGACCCTGTGCTCTTTCCTCCAGGACGTTTGGGGACTAAGGCTCCTTGCTAGGTCCTGAGAATATGAAGATGAATAATATTTGTTCCCCACCCTGAGCTCTACTCTGAAGCACCCACGACACTAAAGCTGATATACAGACTGTCAGGTCAGAAATCCACCAAGAGGGGACTAACGTCAGTGCTGATGCTGCTGGCATCGTGTTTGCTAACGTCCCATTGGCCAAAGGCCATCACATAGCAAAGCTCAAACCCAAGATTCAGAGAACTAGAACTCCCTTCTCAATAGGAGAAGCGTATCGCATACAGGGATAGAAGATGGTGCCCGATTTTGTTGTCATCTACCACAGCGATTGAGTCAACGAATAAATGAATGAACACAAAGGCAGAAAGGGACTAACGGAAAGGGATGTCCAAGTTCAGCAGGTCCATGTGCTCGGCTGAACCGGCCCTCTGCAAACGCTCCTCCCCACCGCCCGGCTAGCCAGGGGAGGAGACACACACTGTGTGGTCCCCAGGCCTCTGTGCCCCCCGCTCCCAAATCTGCATGCCTGCCTCTTGCCCAAGCCATCCCTCTGCCCACCTGAGCATTCTTCCGAATCCCCACCGTGCCCCTTGTGACGCGCAGCGCGGGGAGCGTAATTGCGGTAGTGATTGCTTACAGCCATTACATTAAGTTTCAAAATGCTCCCTTCAAATTGAACAATGTTTTTTCAAAGACAACAGCTGCTTCACAGCTTGAATGCAACCGTTAGGATAAATTAAATAAAAAGGGTAATAAAATCACAGTCTAAATTTAATTTCTGAAGAGTGCATAGGCTCAGAAAAACAGCATTTAAAAAATGTCTCTAAAATGCAGCCAGAAAAGCAGAAGTTAATTCACTCCCTGATTATGTAAGCTAATGGGCACACTGGCGCAATTGACCACATAATTGCCCTGGTGTGGACAAAGCCCCAAGCTCATCCCAGCGCTCTCCTGTTCAGCCCACAGGCTCCACGTGGGAAGGGGCTATTGGACAGGGGCTTGTCTATGCAGATGTCCCCACAAACAGGCTCAGAAAAGGGTCCCTGTTCCTTGTAGCAAAATAACAATGAAGATGAAGTCCACAGCCAGCCCCCGTCCCACCCCATCTTCCCGTTACCTGCAGCCACCTGGAGCCACCCGGCAGCGGCCGGAGCTAATGTGCACTTGCCTGTATGCAGGTTGCAAAAGTTAGCCACTGAAAGCCTACCTCTGAAGGGTAGCTGAATAGACCACCCAAAAATATGCCACTTTGGCATAAGGATTATTTTGAGCTAAAGAAAGAACAGGCATGAGAAAAGCTCTCTGCTCTCCCCCATTTGCCGAAACCCAGGACAGAAATTTGTCAGGGTTTCCCCCTCCACTCTTCCAGGAGGAACAGAGGTTAGTCACCAGACACAACTCCACATCCTTATGAGAAGAGAGAGGCACCAGAATTATCTCCAGAACAAACCTGACGAACTAGTCCTCATCTTCCATTAGTTTCCCCACGTAGTTACCTTCCCACAACTTGCCAGCCTAGAAACAAAAGTCCTTTTCCTTTGTCAGGTCACTTCTCAAGCAATGTATTCGTCTTTTGCCGAGATGCTATGTAAGCCCGCATTCTAACCCCGCTTTGAGGTACTCAGCACTGGGTGGTCCCATGTGTGTGCTTGATGTACATGTCAACAAACTTCTGTTTGTTTTTCTCTTGTTAATCCGGTTTTTCTTGGTCTATTCACAGGGCCCCAGCCAACGAATCTGAGACAAGTAGAGAGAAAAAGAATTTTTTTCTTCTCCTGCACCTCGAAGGCAACTCACCTTGTGAGCCACCTAGAAAGACCCGTCCAGCACTTCCCAGGTTCCAGCCTAAACACCAGTCCCACCTCTACCATTTATTTGCCGTGTGATCTGCTCATTTCTTGGAGCGTCAATTTCCTCCTCCTCCGTAAAAAGGGAACTCATTCATTCTTTCATACAGTCAATAGATCGTTACTGGGCACCTAGTCGAAGCCAGGCCCTTCCCAGGTACCCGGGAGACAGCAGTGAGCCAGTCAGACAGAAATCCCTGCCTGAAGGGACATACATCCTAGTGGGCGAGACAGACAATGAACATCATCAGGAAGCTGTGTGTATAGAACAGGAGAAGAGAATTCTAGTTTGGGGAAAAGAAAGTAGGAGAAGGTGGGATGAAGTATTGTAACTTTAAGTAAGAGGTTTGGGGAAGGCCGCACTGAGAAAGGCCGATTGGAGTGAAGGCCTGAAGGAGGGCAGCGAGCCAGCCCCACGGATACTGGGGGAAGAGAGTCCAGGCAGAGGGAAGAGAAATGCAAAGGCCCAGGCAGGAGTGTGCCTGGAGGGATCTGGAGGCAGCAAGGAGGACGGTGTGCCTGGAGCAGAGTCAGCAGGAGAGTGTAGGAGATGAAGTCAGAGCTCACAGGGGAGTGGGAGGGTCCCATTCAAAGGGCCGAGTCATTCATTGACCAGTATTTACTGAATGCTTAATACAAGTCCGACAGAGGGACGTGGTGAGCACTGAAGCAGATACAGCGACGGCAGCTCCTGGCACATAGGGAGCTCTCAGCAAATGTCTATTCTTCCTGCAAAGAGGGGGGTGCCCTGCACACTGGCCAGGGCGGGCAGAGACACTGTTCAGGAGAACCTGGGTCCTGGCTCTGTGTTCTCTCCCTGGGTGAGGATGCGGCCTCACTGCCAGCAAGGCTAGTTCCATACCTGTTAGAGGCTGAAGGCATAGACTGCCCTTGCCCGAGTGCCAGGTACCTGGGGCATTTCCTCCTGGCTCCATGCCATGGAAGGTCTGTGTCACACCAAAAACACTGCTGTCCTCTCGGCTCTGAAAGGACAATAGCTGCATGGAGAGGGGTGCAGGCAGCTGGTCCCCATGGAGGGAGCAGGAGAGGGCATGACAAACAGAAGGGGCTCCTGCTCTGGGGAGCCACCCCGTGCAGCCTCAGCTAAAGAAATCGGTCAGTTAGAGCAGGGTGTGCATGTGTGCACGTGCACACGCAGCACACGTATGTGGTCCCTTCCCTCCAAATCCGTAGCCCACCTGCAATGCTGCAGGTGCTTACTCTTTTTTTCCATTGTCACCACCCAGCCGGTGTACCCCGTTCCAGTCTCTACCCAAGTCGGCCACCAGGGGGCGCTCAATGCTCCCCTTTCCCCTCCCATCAACTATCTGGCCAAGAACACACACCACACACACACACACACTCCTGCCTCTCCATCCTCTCTCAGTTCTCACTCTTGAAAGTCCTGGTCCCAGGGCTGGCATGGCAAGAGGTAACCTGGGGTCTCCCCCTGCTTTTTAAGGACTTGCAGCCTGGAAGGCCTAGTGGGTCATACAGACCAATTCTCCAACAGCCCTGGGGCAAATGCTTCTTGTCCACTACTGTGCCCTAAGGGGGTCTTTCCTCACCTGAGTGATAAGGCCTTAAACAAAGAGCAGCAAAAGCTTTGTGCCTGGAGACTGGGGTGGATGAGACCCCCGGGTGCCCCGGCCCCCACCTGAGGCTGTGGCATAGAGGAGTCTATGGAGGGAGCCCTCTGGGCATCTTGTTGAAATGCAGACCGTGCCTCCGTCATTCTGGGGTGGGGCCTGAGCGTCTGCATTTCTAACAAGCGCCTGGATGTGCTGAGGCAGCCGGTCCAAGACCACCCTGAGTGGTAAGCATAGGGGCTGGTGTGCAGTGTGCATCCTCGTGGCTGTCACAATTCCCTCTCTCTCTCTCTCTCTCAGTGCAGATAGCAGGAATTCATTGAAGCAACATTAAGAAAAAAAAAAAGGAATACTTGAAACAACAGAACCCTCCATGTATAGGATACTGGTTAACTAAACCTTAGACCAACCGTCAGCAGGTGGAAAAGCGTAGGCGTTTACCACGCAGCTCTCTGAGAGGGGACGCCCTGACTTACAGGTGCCCGTTCCCGTTGTGCAGATACTTCCACCATGGCCAGTTTCAGTCGACCAACGTGACGTCCTCGGCTCCCGCAATTTCCCACCGTTTAACAGTTCAGAGCCGCTACAAGCTGCTTCCAGCACCCCACCAGCAGCTGTAAAAAATATTAACAACGAGGAAGCGCTCTCTGTGCTGATATGGAAAGAGCTCCAGAATATCCTAGAAAACGGAATAAAGCAAGATAGAGAGCAGGGTGGATAGTTTGCTCCCTTTGGGTAAAAGAGGGGGAGGGATACACACACGTGATTGCTTGTATTCGCATAAAGACCTACTGGAAGGAGACACAAAAAGAAATAAACATGGCCATCTAAGGTGGGGAGAGAAGGCAATGCACGTAAAAGGAGCGATGCGTTTTTGTAAATATCTTCTTATATTACTTTGATTTGGGAAGTGTTAAATACAATACAGCATCTATTCAAAACATTCAATTAAGAAAGAAAGCATATCTAAAAGGCAAGCAAGTGACTCTGACCTTCTTGTTGGGGCCACAGGTAGGAATTGCTCTACAACTCCTGAGGTGCAAGAGACATCCCGTATTTTTTTTTTTTTGCTTTTTCTCCCCAAATCCACCCTGTGCATAGTTGTATATTTTAGTTGTGGGTCCTTCTAGTTGTGGCATGTGGGACGCTGCCTCAACATGGCCTGACGAGCAGTGCCATGTCTGCGCCCAGGATCCGAACCGGCGAAACCCTGGGCCACTGAAGCAGAGCGTGTGAACTTAACCACTTGGCCACGGGGCCGGCCCCATATGTCCCATTTTCATACATGTCTAAATCAAGTCATACCCCCATTGGTTAACGGAGATGATAACTTCAATAGTAGTCAGTTTCGGGAGTCTGTCTTCCTTGGGTCTTATAAGCATCCCAGGGTTTGGTCCAAAATAATTAGAAAGGACTCAGTCTCCATTTCATGTGGTCACCATCCTCACAGTTGCAGAGCACCAGGACCCAGAATAGACTCTAAGCTTACTGTCTAAATTTCAACACCAGCTCTGTCTTTCACTGGCTGTGTGACCTTGGACAAGTTGCTAAACCTCTCTGTGCCTCAGTGTCCTCATCTGTAAAATGGGGATAATAACAAGATCTGTGACTTAGTGTATTTAATATAGTAAGATCAGTGCCTGGCACTAGTGGGCAACTGATAACTGTTGCTACTGACATCGTCACCATCGTGCACAATGTCCCACCAACAACTGCGCTTTGGGATGGGTGACAGATACCCTCGAGGGTCCTCTCCACTCAAGCAGACCTGTTTGAGGCACATGGACAACATTCCCAAGGCTGCGGGCCTGGGAGTCCAGTTTTCACAGTCCTCATAGAGCCACCACCATCTTGGAGGGCCTCTGCAAGGAGGCGCACCCACACCACCCCCAGCTCCAGAACCTGCAGCCACATCCCCTCACCCAGGCCCGGAGACAAAACTCTCTCCTCCCCTCCACGCACCAGCCCCTTCCCCTCTGCCTCCCACGGGAGCTGGCAAAATTCCCCTCGGGGAACCTCACGGCCCTGCGTTCCTACCACCTGCCCCTGTGACAATGCAGAGTCCCGGGCCCCAGGTGCAGGGCCGGCCGAGGCTCAGGGTTTCCTGCAGCACTTGCATTTGCACTTCTGCCCTGGGGGCGGGGGCGCCTCCGCCTTCACAACAAGCTTCCGGGCAAATGGGAGGAAAGGTTTCCTTCATTCCTTTCTAATGAGCCTAAAGCCATAAGAAAAAAGAGAAAAAGACATCAATCAATTTTTTCACTGACTCACACTGCTTCCTAGGAATAACTGAATCAGCTCTAATTTTGTGACAGTAAATCGTTCCTTGACGTTGGCACTTTAGTATCAAATAATCGTGACCCAACCTCGCCTCTGACCACAGCCCCTCCACAGTTTGGGAGGCCAGTGGCAGGGCAGGAACTTTCCATCCTCAGCAAACTTTCTGCCTGCCAAATCTTGTCCAGAACCCTGAAACAATGCATCGCATTTTATGAGAATTTGCATTATGTGACTTGGAAATCGGGCGATTTAAGAATTTTAATAGAGACTTGCCATATGCTCAGATTTTGAAATAATGCATCTCTTCCTTTACATTCATCCCTCTGGGAAATTTCGTCTTGAATAATGCATAACTTCAGGAACGAAACCCTTGCATAAATCTGATGAAAGCAATCTGCTGTGATGGGGAGAGGTGGGGGGACCCCCCAGTTAATCCTTTCTCCCCCTACCATGTCTCCCACAGGGACTGTGGCCTGCATCCTGCTTGGGGCTCATTTAGCTTTGTGGCTAAGATTTCTTGAACCGGTCACTCTGCTGAGACCTGCCCACTGATCCACTCAATACAAATCTGTGAGGCACCTACTGTGCGCATATGTAGCATGGGCATACCATCTTCATGGAGTTTGCACTCCAGTCCGGTCCTTCCTACAGCCTGAGAAGCCAGGGTTATCACTGCTCCTATTTCAGGATGAGGAAACAGGCTCAGCCTGAGGTCACACAATGAGGAAGTTGGGCAGAAGCCACTTTTGAATGCAGGTCGTCTGAGTCCATCTGCGGGTTGAGGAACAGGGCGTGTGTGCCGGAGCCCCAGAGGCTGGCAAAATGCCGTCTCAGGTCACCTACGAGTCTGCTGGGAGGTCACTGTGGCCGTGATCACACTCACTCCGGAGCACTGGCGAGGAGGGCGATGCCGACGTCACAGGGCCTCCCTCCCTGCAAGGGAGAGCATCCTGTCGACACCCCCAGACTTACACACATTAGAGTTCTGTCCTCAGAACGGGGAGTAGACCCTGGGCAGGTGAGCTCGAGTGTCTGCAGAGAGGACGCTTGAGGAGGGCTCTGGAAGAATGGCCGGA